CTCCCCGCCCACTTCCTATTGGCTAACATTCAGCCACTGCACATCCATTTGTACTTCTGGATGAAGGGATCTGCAGGAATATTCACATCCATTCAGATGGTCTGTGATGACTAGAAAGGTATGATGTGTACTTCAGTTCCTCAGTATCTGCTTGCTACCCCTCTCCATCTGAGGTGTGTACTTGATGACATTCCCAGGAAAATGAGGCATGGTGATGTCTATCACAAATTACCTGGAAGGATTTTTCCAGGAGGTCATAGTTTAAAGGCCAGGCCATTTAGCACTGGGACAAGGAGAAATATCTTCACCCAGAGAGTGGGAGCCTGTGGAATTCTCTGCCACAGAAGGTGGTTGGGACCAAAACATTGAATATTTTCAAAAAGGAGTTGGATATAGTTCTTAGGGTTTAAGGGATCAAGGGTATGAGGAGAAAATGGGAACAAGGGACTGAGTTGGATGATTAGCCATGATCATATTGAATGGGGGAGCAGGGTCAAAGGGCTGAATGACCTACTCCCGCTCATATTTTCAGTGTTTCTATGGTGACTGTGTCTGGCCCTCCTCCTCTCTCCCACACCTGAAAATCAGTCTCATCAGCGTGAATATAACTGAGTTACCATAATGAGGCTTGAAAAGGGAGCAGGGAATAATACGTCATATTCTGAATCTGGTATCATTCTTCTTCTGAAGAAGAATCATACCTGACCCATTAACGTTAGCTCTATATCTCTCTCTGCAGATGCTGCCAGATCCACTGAGTTTCTCCAGCATTCTCTGTCTTTGTTTCAGATTTCCAGCAACTCCAGTATTTTGCTTTCAATTATACTAGGCTCATCATTATCACATATTGAGACAAGTTTGGGATTTCCTCTCCTTGATTTTCCTCTCTGCCTCTGATATGTGGAAACTTTCACCACTGAGGGTTGTTGAGGCTCGGTCATTAAGTATACTCAAGGCTGAGAGAGACAGATTTTTAATTAGTAAGGTAATGAAAGGTTAAACAAGACAGGAAAGTTGAGTTTTCTGATGAAGGGTCTAGGCCCGAAACGTCAGCCTCTCTGCTCCTATGATGCTGCTTGGCCTGCTGTGTTCATCCAGCCCTGCACCTTGTTGTCTAGGAAAGTTGAGTTATGGCTTAACAAATCAGATATGATCTCATTGAATGGTGGAGCAGACTCAATGGGTTGAATGGTCTAATTGTGTTCTTACGTCAAATAGTCTGATAAGCACTTGCTTTCAAATGTGATGTAATCTGTGGGATTTATATGTTTGATATCATTTTTTGCAAGTTTGGGTTCTTGGATTCTGGGTTTGTGAGAGATGTGAGTTTTCTCTTGTGTGTCTGAAATTAATAATTAACTTGTAACTATTTCTGTAGCCTTGGTAAGTATTTGTGTTTTTCAGAGTTAGCTTTAGAATGAATGGGGTTTCGGTCTAGGCCTGAAACATCAGCCTTTTTGCTCCTATGATGCTGCTTGGCCTGCTGTGTTCATCCAGCTCTGCACCTTATTGTCTCGGATTCTCCAGCATCTGCAGTTCCTACTATCTCTGATTCAATTTTGAGAGACAGGTTTTCTTTTAGTTTTACTTATGAGTTTGGAGCAGTCCTTGGAATAAGATGGTCATTGACAGTAGTACTCCTCAGACGGGAAAGATGTATGTCGTCAACTCGGTTCCCTTAGAGTGAAGAGTCAGTATTAGTCACAGATAAGAAGTGTTGTGACAAAACCCTGCAAAGCTTACTTAAAGCTGAGTATTAAGCAGACATATAATAGCTGCAGAAAGAAGCTATTTGCAGTTCTAGTCTAAAAGCTGAAGTCACAAATGACTTAAACCTATCAAGGTGTTAGCTACAGTGACGCTGGTGTGAGTATTGAACAAGTGGTGTTCAGATTTTTGTACCAAGGGTGTGTTTTGGGTAGTACAGAAATGCTATTTTATTGCTTTTCAGTTCAGAGTTTTGGGATTAATGGAAGTATATTTTTAAGGTGTTATTAAAAATCTGTGAATCTGTGTTGCAAGTAGATGGCTTGGTTTATTCTATTTTAGCTTTTTTTTATAACAAACTGCCATATATTGTTAAAGCAAAATCTGCAGCATTGCTGCTTATGTTTCAATGAGAGATAACTCTATTAAAACCAAAAGAAATCAAAATATGATCTAGCAAGCCAGCTTCCTGTCTGAAATTGACAGGTAATAACATCAGCTGGGATCATAACACAAAGGAAAACACAAGATTTTTGACTTGCTTGTGCCAATTGTAACAATCCTGGACAAGCCTCTCCCTGGACTCAAAGTCAATATTCAGTCAAAGTGAATTCAAGCCTCCTGAACATCCTTGGCGTGATTCCTTTACCTGCTACAAGGGCACACTGCAAACCCAGATTCTCCCATAGGAGGCTTTATTTGCTCAGTGATTGTCAGGCATTTTGGCTACATAATCAGCCCAGCTCAGTTGTGACTGTGTCTAAGATAACAAGGTGTAGAGCTAGATGAACACAGCAGGCCAAGCAGCATCAGACGAGCAGGAAGGCTGACGTTTCAGGCCTAGACCCTTCTTCTAGACTCGAAACGTCAGCCTTCCTGCTCCTCTGATGCTGCTTGGCCTGCTGTGTTCATTCAGCTCTACACCTTGTTATCTCAGGTTCTCCAGCATCTGCAGTTTCTACTATCTCTGTGACTGTGTCTATGCGGCTTGGCACCTCACCGTCTGGTCTTTTGTTCTGCCACGGCCGTTCCAAAAGCAGCTTAAATGAAACTGTTGAGCTTCTTGGCAAGATCCAACTGCACAGTCCACATTTGTCATCAGTAAAGCAAAGGTCAGGGCAGGTATATTGCTCCACAGTCTTTCACATTGGCAGGGAAACTGACTCCACCTTCATTCTCAGACTGCTTTCTGAAGCATTTACCATAAACATCCCATGAATAATAGAATTTCTAACATTTAACACACACAGCATAAAATCTCCAACATTCATTCAGAAAATGAACATTACTTATTCACAAAAACAACACCTGTAATGTCACTGCTGTGTTTATAGTTTATTCAACTCTTCGAGCAAATAGAGTCACTTCCCAAATATTTAAATCACAAAACACTTCAGTGTATGGTTAGGAGATAGTAGGAACTGCAGATGCTGGAGAATCTGAGATAACAAGGTGTAGAGCTGGATGAACACAGCAGGCCAAGCAGCATCAGAGGAGCAGGAAAGCTGACGTTTCGGGCCTCGACCCTTCTTCAGAAAGGCCCAAAACATCAGCTTTCCTGCTCCTCTGATGCTGCTTGGCCTGCTGTGTTTATCCAGCTCTACACCTTGTTATCTCAGTGTATGTTTATCTTTTTACTGGAAGGGACAACAGAAATGATTGGAGATATGAATGAGCCATCAAGAAGTCACTGAGTATGGGGGCATGCTATTAATGAGGAGATGAGTGAAGCTTGTAACATGTGCAACATAGTTATCATGGGTGGCCTCAATCTGTATATAGACTGGGTAAACTAATTGAGCACTAAAGCTGTGGAGTATGAGAATCATTGAAACTCTACAGTGTGGAGGCAGGTCATTTGGTCCATCGATTCCACACCAACTCTCCAATGAACATCCCTCTCAGCTCCCTGTAATCCTGCATTTCCCATGGTCAATCCACCTAACCTACACATCCCTGGACACTAGGAGCAACTTAGCATGGCCAATCCATCTAATCTGCACATCTTTGGACTGTGGGAGGAAACCAGAGCACCTGGACGAAACCCAAGCAGACACAGGAAGAATGTGCAAACTCCACACAGACTGTCACCCGATGGTAGAATTGAACCCAGGACCCAGTTACTGTCAGACAACAGTGCTATCCACTGAGCCACCATGATGAGTTTCTGGAGTGTGTCAGGAAGTATGTTGAGGAACCAACTAGTGGATGTTCTATTTTACATCTAAAATTAAGTAGCGTGAAAGAGCCAAATAATCTTGTAAAAGTACCTTTAGGGATGATTTTCTGCAATGTGAAAGAATTTTACACTATGTTTGTAAGTGAGGTAGTTCAATCTGAAGCTAAGTTGTCAAATTTGAATAAGGGAAATTATAAAGGCATGAGGCATGAATTAGCTGAGATGAATTTGGGAAAATACGTTTAAGGACAGGATTCTGCATAAGCAATGGATCCATTCCTTCAAAGTGCAAAAAATCAGAAGTGTTCAGTTAATTCTGCCTGATAAAGGAAGTTAAGGATTAAAGAGGCTTAGGAAAAGACATATAGCTGCCACATATAGGATTTTTAGAATACAGCAAAGGAGGACCAAGAAACTGGGCGAAAGGGACAATGAATACAATATAATCTCACAAAATACGCAAGAACTGACTATAAAAGTTTCTGTGGCTGTGTGAAAAGATGTGACAAGACAAAAGTGGGTCCATCATAGACAGAGTTGGGAGAATATAAAATGGGGAATAGAGAAGCTAGATGATTATTTTGTGTCTGTTTTCTCTGAGGAAGATACAAGAAATCACATTGAACACAGGTAAATTGAGAGAAGAGAAGAGGATTTGAAGGATATTGGTATTTATAAGAAGGTCATACTGGAGAAGTTAATGAAGCTGAAAGTTGTTATGAGCCTGGAACCTGATGGTCTACTTCCTAGAGTGTTGAAGGTGTTGGATATAGAGATAGTAGATGTGTTGGTGATTATCTTCCAAAATTCTACAGATTCTGGAATGATTGCTGCAGATTAGAAGGTTGCAAATGTTACCCCATTAATTAAGAAAAGGACGAGTGTAAAAACAGGGAACAAAGACCTGTCAGCCTTCCGTCTATAATAGGGAAAATACTAGAAACTATTCTAAACATGGGATAAATAGACCCTTGGACAATAATGACCTGATTGGGTATAGTTCGCATCCCTTCTCTAGAGCACTCAGAAATGGGCAATAAATGAGGGCCCAGCCAATGACACCCATATTCCGTGAATAAATAAAGAAAATTAAGTGATTATTAAAACACCTTACCAGTTGTTTCCGGTTTTCATCCAGGAACAGTCCCAGCAGTCCCAGAAATGATCCAAAAGCAAGCTATGGAAAAAATACAAACACAGCACTCTGAGTCACATTATTCTAAGCAGAACAATTTTTTACAGCTACTATTGTAACAAATTCAGACAACATAATGTGTGACGATGCCATGGCTTTAAGAGGTGTATTTTGTCCTGGGCTCTTTTAAGAGAGAGGTTGAACGAGAGGTGCTGAGCAATTTCTGAGGCCTTGGGATTTTTTTTTAAAGTTGGAACAATAGAAGCAGCCTGGATGGATGTGGCCAGCTCTCACAAACCAGGATTTTTAGTTTTCTTTTGTTTCTAGATTCAGCAGAAGCTGCTGGAGGCTTGAAGAAGTAGACGCTATTCCACCTCCCCACCTCCGCCCCACCACCTCCCCCCACCCCCCCACCCCTCACTCTCGGTTACAGCTAGAAGCTGGGATTTCTCTTCCTACTGTGGGCATTACATGTGAAAAAATCTGTGTTCTGAATTTGCCTTTTTGCCAAGGGCTGTGTTTATGGAATGTTACTGTATTGGAACAGTTAATTCATAATACTTACAGTATCTGTTAAGTTTTCCAACAGAGTTAAGTCATTCTAAGTTCTTCTCTCTTTGGTTGTATTTTAACTACAGTGTTTGAATAAATTGTGTTTTGCTTAACATCGAGTAGTTTGACCAATCGAATTGCATCTGGAATGCACACAGTACACTTGCCTTTAAAATAAGAAAAATTTAGGGTCAAGACTACCTTCTTAAAATATTTTGAGAGTGTCTGATCTGGTCCATAACAAATGCAAGTATTCAGCTACTTTGAGCATCCCATTTTGTATGCGAATCCATCAGAGCGAGTTGCAGAATCCTGTATTCTGTTTACCTGGTTGGTTTGTTGTTGATTTCAATAAAAAGGAAAGAATTCAAATGATCAACGAAGGAGAAATCAGCAGGTGTTCTTGTTGAAATCACAAATATACCACAAGAGAAAGCAAAGTATTGGCAAATCACCTGCACTTTGGGCTAATTTTCCCCTCCCAGATCTGGGACAGCTTTATGTAACTGCACTCTCCTTGAATTCGGAAATAATACTTCAGCTTTCTTTCCGATTGAAACCTTTCAGCCACAATACCCCACTCCTTTCAAAACCACTTCTTGTGTTAATTCTATTCTGCTGTTCAAATCCCTCCTTTAAACCAAACTCTATTACTCTCCTTTCCATGTAGGTGGATTGGCCAGGCTAACTTTCCCATAGTGTCCAGGGATGTGTGGGCTAGGTGGATTAGCCATGGGAAATGCAGAGTTACAGGGACAGGGTAGTGGGATGGGTCTGCGAGGGATGTTCTTTTGAGGTCCGTGTGGACTTGAAGGGCTGAATGGCCAGCTTCCACAATGTAGGGGTTCTATGATTCCATGTGCTACCATTCAACTATTTACTTTTTTCCCCTAGCTTCTCACTTTATTATTTTGGTTTTGATGTTAAATTTATACACTCTAATTACTGACTCACTAAAACACAAACATATTATCCCCTATTCTTCTTAATGCCTGGTTAAATGCTTTTAGTAATTCCACACATATAACCAACATTGCATTTATTTTAGCAATTCACTCTTATACCACTATTAAACATGTTACATGCAACTTTGAAAATCTATATTACTATATTCCTTGATTAACCTCTGTCTTTTCAGCTATAGTATGGATTATATCCAATATTATGGCCTACAGATGTTTACTTAGTCACAGTATTGGTTTATTGGTTTATCATACCATTCAGTAATCAGGCCTGCAATAGCACTCTGCATTAGTTAGGGTTCTTATGGTAACAGTAGCCCAGGTTCAAGTCATAACATAACATCACTGAATCAGTTAATTTGGAAAATACCCAACACAATACACCACACAAGTGGGCAAAACATCCTAAATTCCCTCTGGCACATAACAGCAGTCAATTAAGTGCTAGGGCCTCACTGGATTCATTCAGATGGCCTGTGCTCAACACCAGTGATGGCAAGATTAGTTTTTCATTTAGGAGGACAGCGGCATTAGTGATTTTGTGTTTAAATCAATAGTGTCCAATTACCTTTTACCATGATCATGGCTGATCCAAGTACTGAGGTCTGTGGGGCTTACTTTTGTACCATTTCTTGGTTGGTTAGATCTTTATAGATTTTCTCTTCAAAGTTACTGACATTGCTCATGCTCAATTCATGAGCACTTGTGGCAACATCACAGAGCAAGAGAGGTTTAAAGAACCATCAGCTTGTCATTGTTGCTTTCTGCTTGTAATTCAGGCACTAAATTTGGACAACAAAGCCTATGCTACAGCCTTAGAGTGTATGCTCCATTTTATCACTGCAACAAAAGGTGACGCTGCGTACAATATTAAGCTAACGCTTGTTAAGGTACTGAGTCTCACTGAGAACAGCTGTGAGTTCCTTCACACTGGTATGTGGGGAACAAATATTCCAAAAGGCAAGGATTATGGTGTATTTTTGCAAGTACCATTTCTTTCTGTTTGAATTTATGATTGGATGCCTCGAATCAGCAGGCCAGCAGACTTCCGATGGAGAGAGATCAATCTTTTGGGATATTTTTCACCAATCTCCTGAGCTAGAGCCAGTAATAGTGCTTCTGAAAATGGCTACTTTATCATCATGGAGGATATAGGCAAAAATAATTGCTCTAAGGTCAATGTTGAATAATCATCAGACTTGACCCTTGGGATACTAGGGCCTACGTCCTTCTGTCAAGTTGAACTGGCTCTATAGGTCAGCTTCGATATTCAGAGGTTTCCTCTGGCTCTGCCTCACATTGAAAGAAGGGTTCTGTCTAATCTCACTGACTCTTTCATCCCTTCAGCCAAAGGTGCGACAGAACGAAGATGGTCAGACATTTCCCACCATTACTATGTTGGCCCACTGTAACACATTGCTTTCAAAGGCAGCAGGAAATCTCTGAGATTGACTTCAGCAATTCACTCATTTTCAAATCTAGACAGAACTATGAGTTTCTATTGAATCAAATGACAAAGGTAATAGCCTATCAAAGATCTATAACATTTGCAAATAAATACCGTTGTTCGTTAGCTCACTGAGCTGGTTGTTCTGTGGTGGGCAGACATTTCGTTACCATGCTAGGCAACATCATTGGTGCGAGCTCTAACCGAAGCGTTGGTGTTCTACTTCCTTCTGGATTTATATGATCTTCTGGTGTGATGATCTTGTTACTTCTGGTTCTGTTGTTTTAGCAGCGGTCTGTATACAGATCATCACACCAGAGGATCATATAATTCCAGAAGGAAGCAGAACACCAACGCTTCAATTAGACCTCACACTAATGATGTTGCCCAGAAAGGTAATGAAATGTCTGCCCACCACAGAACAACTAGCTTGGCGAGCTAACGAACAACTGCATCCACAACCCAAGCTACAAATTTTCACCAAGACCACGCAAATAAATACCAGATGATAATCAGGGAACTTTCTGAGCCTGCTGTTAATTTTAAATATTTCTGATCTTTTAAGCGGACTGAACATCTGGTGCCACTTAGTCCCTTGGCTAGGACTGAGACAAGGAGAAATGTCTTTACCCAGACAGCAGTGAGCCTGTGGAACTCACTGCCACAGAAAGCGGTGGAGACTAAAACGTAGAATGTTTTCAAGAAGGAGTGAGATATAGTTATAAAGGGATCACAGGGTATGGGGGAGAAAGCAGGAATAGGATACTGAGTTGGATGATCAGCCATGATCATATTGAATGGTGGAGCAGGCTCTGGGCCTGAATGGGCTACCCCTGCTTCTGTTTTCTATGTTTCTGTGTGTAGTTTGTAAGACAATAAATAAAACTATTTTTCTTTAACCTTAAACAATCAAATGAATATAGTTGATTAATTTTAATGTAATCCTTCTGCTGCCCCAGTGCCTCAGAGAGGCTCTCTGGCAAATTATCATTGTAGTTTAAAATGATTAAAATACTAATATATCCTCAAATAGCTGTTAAAACCTTCTAATGTTCTGAGACTCAATTTGACTGCACATATATAAAACATCTCCTTAAAATTTCTGTGGATTCTGTAATTCATTATATGAAATTTTAGGAAGGGAATTTTAAGAGTTCTATCATTGTTGAGGCATTGAAAATTGTAATCTTTTTGAATTGTATGAAATACTGATCTATGTGACCTGGGAACTCTTGACCTGGAAGCAGTACCAACAGGAAGGAGTTCGACGTATGAAAACCGTGTGGTTTACAGGTATAAGGGAGAACTTCTGACAATTCATAATTGTAATGGGAATAGAATAAAGAAGGCATATTTACAGGAACTGTCTGTGAGCTAATATTTATAGTATCCCCTATTCCATGTGTCATTAAAAAGAATAGCCAAAGAGGGAGTTAAAACAAAAATTAGACAATTCTTTGGCTATACCTCAGTTTTTTCAGAGACAAGCATAACATTTAAGAAGATTTATGTAAGGAGTCACATACAAGATTCTCTAGGAAATCTGTGCCACCAAGACTGCCATGTACCTTGGTGAGGATGTTCTATAATCGTGTGGCACATGAGTAACAACTGTCTATGGGTATTGGATGGAGTGGGGCTACTGTTGTAGGTGATTCATGGACCACACTTACTGAGTGAGAAATCCTACACTTTGGAGGCATGTTGGAAAGGAAGGGATACCGCGGCATCTGCAGGAATTTGCACTTACAGGGGATATTGCACATTGTGTCACATTTACATAGCGAATCATATGATTCATTGCAATCTTGTGAGATATTATTTATGGTATCCCCTATTCTATGTGTAATTTTTGTCTGTCCTGGTTGTAATTAAAGAGTTCATATTTACTACATGGATTCTGATTCATTTTGAAAGTAGAACCTACAACAGGACAATCTTGCTTTGTTTCAAACATTAGCACTTGACTATGGATTGCCTCCAGGTGTTTTTCTGTTAACTTTCTCTGCAGAGATCTCAATATTCTTCTTTGATCTGTAACTAATGAACAGAAACTGAAAAGCCAAAAGATGGCCCAAGATTAGATTCTAAATGATCCAACTGCACTGTAGCAGACCCAAAGCGAATATTCATCTTCGATCACCCATCATTTTCCCTGAACTGAAAAAAGAAGGTTGAATATATGGGATTCCACAGAAAACGTCAGTCAAAATAGCTTTTAAAGTAAATTAAACAGCATAACTTCTCAATTTCTAAATCTTGTCAACATGTCTGGAAAAATAGTGTTAATATTATGTAATTTCAATATGTTTTTTCTCAAATACTCTCCTTGGATTCAATTCCTCCAAAATGTGGTTTTAACTATCAATTTAACTCCCCATGTAGACAGCCAAATAAAAACATTTGTCGCTAGTTATAGTATCAGGGAGGGGGGCGCTTCGTGGATATATAGTTAGCTCCTGTGCAATCTCCTTGAGGTAGCTCATAAACTACAAAACAGATTCCTTAAGTACTGATTGGTAGCAAAGTTGTCCAATAAGTTCCACAGTAATATATAGACGTAGATGTGCTTTCAAGTGCTGAAAATAATAATTGTGCTTTTGCACCTAAAATGTAATGTAGACTGCTTCTGAAACAAGGTCCAAACCCGTAACCTTGTGCTGATTTAGTGTTAACCATCTATGCAGTCTCCCGTCTACCTCTCCCAATTGGAGCCGTACCTTCTGAAAATTGACTGAAGCAAAGGAAATGTATTGATTAAAACCAGATAGCACTGACAATCAAACATGTACTCTTAAAAAAAACAGAAGTTGTCAGTGTCTTAACTGAATGGCTCACTCTATTCCTGATATTAAAAAAACTTTTCAGTTTCAAATGATTTAGACAAACTGAGCCAAGGGACAGCCCAGTCAGTTTCCCTACAAGGGCTGTTAGCCAGAGGAGGTGAGTTTCCCTCCTTCATGTGTCCCCTTGGGTTCTAACCACCTTCCCCTAGCCAGTCCACCCAGGGTGTATTTCTCTTCTATTCACCTCTCAAACTCCGACCAGCTAAACTCCTCATCCTGCCCCCACGGAGAGCAGAAGCAGTAAACGAGTGATGCTTACTGGGTCTAAATCATCTTCTTTACTTCAAAATGTTTCCACCCCAAACATTGATCCACTTCCTGATCTAACACCATGGCCAACTGTTTCAACGTGGCCTGCTGATGGTCTCGGGGGCTTCCTATCCTTGAGAAATCCCAATTTTACTGAATTCAGGGCAGCTGGTTTTCCCTTAGCATGCTCCTCCCCACCAACCCCCACCCCCCAACTCTTTCATTGGGGGTCAAGGAATCTAACTTCTGGTATAATCCAGCCCACTGACTCTGAAGAATCCCTCCAACATGCCATCACTTAACGGCACCTACAATGCTAATCTGGCGCATTTCACTTTTTTTAAAACTTCATTCATGGGATATGGGCATCCCTAGCCAAACCAGCAATTACGGTCCATCCCTAATTGCCCTTGAACTGAGTGGTCTGCTGGGCCATTTCAGAGGGCAGATAAGAGTAGATCTGGAGTCACCATAAGACCATAAGCTATAGCAGCAGAAATAGGCCATTCTGTCCATCAGGTCTGCCCCGCCATTTGATCATGGCTGATATGTTTCTCAACCACTTTCTCCTGCCTTCTCCAATAACCCTTGATCCCCTTACTGAACAAGAACCTATCCCTCTCTGCCTTAAACACACTCAATGACTTGGCCTTCACAGCCCTCTGTGGCAGTGATTTCCACAGAGTCACCATCATCTGGCTGCCTACTAGTAGAAATATCTTCTCCACATCCACTTTTATGATGTGGGGGTGCCAGTGTTGGATTGGGGTGGACAAGGTCAGAAGTCAGACAACACCAGGTTATAGTCCATCAGGTTTATTCAAAATCACAAACTTCTGGAGCGCTGCTGTTTCATCCACTGCATCCAGGCCTCTCAGTATTCTGTAAGTTTCAATGAGACCCTCCCTCATCCTTCTAAACTCCACTGAGTACAGGCATAGGCTCCTCAACCACTTCTCATATAACAAGTCTTTCATCCCCAGGATCATTCTTGTAAAGCTCCTCTGGACACCCTCCAATGCCAACACATCTTTCCTCAGATATGGAGACCAAAACTGCTGTCAATATTCCAAATGCAATCTCACCAGAGCCTAATATAACCTCAGCAGTACACCCCTATATTAGCTCTTTTCAAATGAATGCCAACCTTGAATTTCCATTCCTAAATGCCAACTGAACCTGCATGTTAACCTCAAGAGAATTCTGAATTAGGACTCCCAAGTCCCTTTGTGCTTCAGATTTCCAAAGTCTTTCCCGTTTAGAAAATAGTCAGCACCTCTATACTTCCTACCAAAGTGCATAACCTCACACTTTCCCACATTATATTCCATCTGCCATTTCTTTGCCCATTCTCTTAGCCTGTCCTAGTCCTTCTGCAGCCTTCCTATCTCAACACTTCCTGTCCCTCCACCTACCTTTGTGCCATCTGTAAATTTAGCCACAATGCCCACAGTTCCTTCATCCAGATTGTTAACATCTAATATGGTCCCAACACTGACCCCAGTAGAACTCCACTAGTCACCTACTGCAATCCTGAGAAAGATCCTTAATCCCCACGCTCTGCCTTCTGCCAGTCAGCCAATACCTTGCTCCGAACACCATGAGCTCTCATCTTATTGGGCAACCACCTGTGTGACACATTATCAAAGGCATTCTGGAAATATGTCATGTGTAGGCCAGACCATGTCAGGATGGCGGATTTCCTTCCCTGAAAGACATTAGTGAACCTGATGGTTCTTTACAATAATCAACAATGGTTACATGATTGCTGCTAGGCTTTTTTTTTAAACTCATGATTTGAGTGAATTCAAGTTTCACCATCTGTCATGGTGGGATTCGAACCTATGACTCCAGAACATTAGCATGGGTTTCTGGGAAACTACTAGTACTGGATTATGCCAAGAAAAACTGCCTGAGTATTTTATAAGTTTGCAGTAAATGCCACATTGCCTTACAAAGTTAAGGAAATGTCAATGTATTTTATTTTCTGTCAGCAATTTCAGATTGTAAGATTGAAGAGAAATTTGAGCTAATTAAAATGGCATGCAGCAGACAAAGCTGAGTATGATGAATAACACAGAACAGTAGAGACCATCTAAATGACTCAGACAGAGCACAGCATGTACATTTGTCATCGGACTTGCCTTAAGTAGAATGTATATAACATGCAACTACACTCACTGTGTTCAATTTCGGAGAATACTGAAAATTACTCCACAGAGTCATATTTTAAAGTATATGATGGATAAGGCTACATCTAAAAGAGAAATATTCAGAAATTATTATAGAAACACATGTGAATCTGCATCTCTTGCTTGATGTAATTCTGGAACCAACTTGAAACTCAACTTTAAAACAAGGTCATACCTACCCTTGAGGAGCTTCCCTGTCTACAACATGTATGGAGTGAAAATGAGATGTGTATAAACTTCATAGCTAATCCCTACTACTATGTCTTAGTTGCTAGCTCTTGCTTGATCTTTGGTAACAGTGGAGATCATCATTTCCACTGGATCTCATTATCTTCCCAAATGACAGGAGAAGTAAAAACTGAGGAGCGAGGAAGTGTGGGGAGACAGATGCAGTGCAATTAATCTAAATGCATAAAACTGCACTTTGTGTTTTCACCAATGTCCTTTAAGTGAGTGTGCATGGCTATGGTATTCATTTGTGGTTGGAGAATATTACATATTCCCACTCACAGGAATTTCTCATTTTCACTTACAATTATTCCAGATGCATAGCCGATGATGCTGATATTCTCAGTCCTTGTTTCAGTGAAAATACCAACGGCAATGATTACAAGTGAGAGAAGAAGCAGAACGCTCGAAAGCCACACTGCCCTTTTCTTTCTTTTCATCAGTAACTCTGAAAAAGGAAAGGCCTGGTCATTTTAATCGTAATTCAATATATTAGTTTTCTTTTTAATGACAGATTACATTTACAAAGCAAACTTCTCAGTATCTCCTAACAGTTGGAAGCTGTCCAATTAAATCCTAGTTACATAAAAGGATTATGAAACATTTTGATACTTGCTGGCATTGTGGACAGAATCATTGTTAATTCTACTGACTTTAATTCAAAATGATTTACAACACATAGTTTCAATTTTGACCACCATCTTGTGTATAACTGAGTAGCTGTCTCAGAAGGAAATGAAAATCTGTGGAGAAAAGACAGGCTATGAATGACAGATTTTGTTCCTTAAAGGGAATTATTGAACCTGATCATTTTTCACAACAATCCAATAACTCCATGGTCACCATGAACAATACTGAGCTTTCATTCCATTTATTTAATGGACTAAACGTAAGTGTGTGTGCATACTCTAAACAATTAATTCTGACCTTTGGATTACTATAACTGATTATTATAACTAAATCCAATACTATAACTATTCCTATTACTCTAATTGATACTCAGTGAAGATCATATGAGATGGGTCCATTAAATCTCCTTTGACTGTTTGAAAGGAGACAGAATTCACATTGTTAGCCCAATGCATATAGGATGGAATGAAGAGATATTACTTACAGTAATTAAATTTTTAATTAACGGGTTAAATAGTTAGGGATCGCAAGCCGGAAAGAGGAGTTAAGGCCGAGATGAGATCAGCCACCATTGTATTAAATGGCGGAGCAGGCTTAAGAGATTTAATTGCCTCCTCCTGCTCCTACTTCTTTTATTCTTAAATCTTCAGCAGAAATTATCTTTCATTGTCATATTGGGCGTGAGCTGCTGATATTTGTTCCACTCCGGGGGACAAATTCGGACTGCTTACCACGTCTGCAACGGTACTAACATAAATCCTGTCGGAGCCACATGGGATGGTTCTGGGGGTGCAGTGGCAAAGTGAACTGCTCAAACACAGGGAAACAGGAAAAACAGTCCTGCTCTTCCTAGTACCCCAGTGAGCTCAATATAAAATACCTCATGGTTTCTCCAGCAATCTCCTTCAGTCCCCATAAGGGCTGCTGTATCCTGAGGAGATATTCAGAGCCCGTGTTGTGCAAGTTCTGACTGATCCTTCCAGGGATTTTACAAGCTGGTCCGAAAAGGATCAAAATATTGAAGGGAGGCCCACACTCATTTGTCCACATCTGCCACTGATCAATAGCAATCCAGCTCCGGGATCTGATGGAGTGGTGATTACTGGAGCTGGATTACACAGTGCCATCCTCTGCGCGGAACTGTTTCCAGTGGCAGTGAGGACATCTCTCACCAGCGACGTTAAAGTCCAGCTGTTTTCTCATACTGTATCACACTTCAACTATTCCAGACACTAGTTAATTACATTGAAACCCACAGGATTAATGAAAGTAGCTTTGAGACAGTTTGTTATTCAGACTGGAAAGAAATATTTAACAGTGTTTCTCCAGGGGTGATATTTATACCACTGCTCTTCTGATTTCTTATTAATTGACAGGACCTCTATGCGCAGAATTATTTCAAAGTTTACAGATGACATGAAACTCAGAAATGCAGACTGAGGAAGACAGTAACAAACTTCAGGATGAAATAGGTGTGCACATGGCAGATGACATTTAACACAGAAGTGTGAAGTGAATAATTTTGGCAGGAGGAATGGAGAGGAGGTGACGTAAAACTGTACAGCACAAAGGGTGCATGAACAGAATCACATGCAGAAGTACCTACAGACTTCTTCACAGGGCACAGGGCAAGATGAGAAATAGCTTCATGAATCCTGGGCTTTCCTGACAGAAGCATAACATGTAAACATAAAGAAATTATTCCAAAAAACCCAACAGAATATGGAGGACCTGGGATTTTGCAATGGAAAACTGGTGTAAGTAATTTTTACTCCATTTTCTTTCTGTAAAAAGTGTTTTGCCACAATCACACATTGATATAAGACCAAAAAGCAAATCTCTTGGATATACCATCCCTCCTAAATGGGCATTGCAAAAGTCTACTACTCACAGAAATATTCTGAGAAGATACATTGTCTTACTGTTACATTTCTGTAAATGTTTCGGTTGCAGAAATATTAAACCTTATGCAGCAAAATGATTCTATATTTTAAGAATTCCACAACAAATTAAATTTGGGCAATAAATAAACAGGTTGAGGAGCAGAATGAGCTTTTCAACCCCTTGAGTCTGGTCAATAAGATCCCGGTTGTTCTGAGTCTGGTACATTCCTGCCTAACTCAGTCTCTGGGAAAAAGTTACACAGGCTCATAACCCACTGAGTGAAAAAAAATTGTCTCTTCCTTAAATGGAAGACCCCTTATTTGCAGACTGTGCCCCCAATTCCAGTATTTTACACAAGGCAAATCCATTGTTTCAACAGCCACCCAGTCCAGTCCTCCTAGAATCTTATATGTCTCAATAAGATCACTTTTTAATCTTCAAAACTCCAAAGGATACAGGCCCAGGCTGCCGAATCTTCCTTCCTAAGATAAAGCCTCCACCAACACCATTCATTGCAGGCATCAGTAAACTTTCCCTGAACTGCTGCTAACACCTTTTCCTAAAGTGGGAGAGCAAAACCACATCCAAAAAACCTACAATACAGTGGCATAAAAAAAAGTTACTGGACAAACATTAGAGGAAACAGAAACATAGTTAATGTTTCACAAACAAGATCATTTCACTTTTAACAAAAATCAATTTAGGTTGCCCAGCCTTGGGGGTAACAGACATTTCACGTAAAATGTGAATTTTAAAAATGGAACAACGTTTGGAATACACAGAGAAAACAGATTGCTTAAAATTGATTTAACTTGCACTTTTTAAAGACATTCACCAATATTTTTCTCGTGTCCTTCAGGTTTATCTGATTTTTCCACTGTCCAAAATGCACCCATAAATTCGCGGAGTGTTTTGACCGGAAAGGACAGATTTTCTTCTCGATATTTTAATATTTGAACCCTGCGGTTTGAAGAAAACATTCATATTCTCAAAACTTCGATCAGCAAGATACCAGCCGCACGTGTTAAAAACGTAGAGATATTTGTTTTGCAAAGTTCACTCTTTTCAAAACTTGTCCTTTGTAGTAGAATTTTTGGAGGAGAAACAAACAAAAATAAAATCCTTGATTCTGGCGCCAGTACGATGGGGGGGGGGGGGTCTACAAAAAAGATTTCAACAATTGTGACCAGCAATGGTTTTTGTGCAGATCTTAAATCTGCAAATTACACGAAATGATATTTCAAAGCCACCAGAAAAGCAAAGCATCTGGATTCGAATGACACGCAGAAGATGTTCCTTAAAAATTGTTAACAATTGGCTGGAATTTGTGTGTTTTTATGTTGGTTCCGGTAAAGGAATTCCAAAGAGAAGGCTGATGAGGGAATACAAAGTTTAGTTTTCATGTTGGGTCTTTGATGGCCAAACAGATCGAATTTTGAGTCGATTTGAGCGGAGGGTGCGGGAGAGAACGTATTGCTTAGTATTTCGGTGAATGAATGGATCGTTCTGAGTTCGATGGAGAGGACCACTTTATGTCTGAAAACAAAACAAAAACGCTGGAAATTTGTTTTCAGCACAGATTCCAGCATCTGGGGTAACTCGCTGTTACCACGTCATGTCAACATTCACCTGATAGAATAACTATCCAGTTTATAATTTAAATAAACGGTTATATAATTGCCATTCACAAAATCATCAACTCACCGAAAAGTTGAAATCGGGGTTGATTTTGTTCTTCAGTCCGTTGCATCTCTCTCTGTCTGTCTTTCTCTTCCTGAATTAAATGCTGCTGGACCAGCCTCCAGCTTCTAGCGGTCCCCAGCTCTCCACATCCTCCTGCTCTCATCCAGAGCTCCCCCCCAGGGCTACAGGGACCTCCGCTTCCGGCCCCTGGACATGCAAGGTCTCAGCCAGAGTCAAGTAACCCCCTGAACTGCATTCTCCAGCCCCCAGCCCCTCCCCAACTAAAAGCACACAGACAACTTCAGATCCGAAGCAAACAGTTTTGAAGAAGGGTCACTGGACCTGAAATTAACCCTGCTTTCTCTATCCACAGATGCAGCCAGACCTGCTGAGTTCCTCTAGCTTTTTCTGATTTAGCTTCAGGCACAACGTCTTGAACGGAAGTAAAAAGTTTCCAAGGCTCTTCTCAGGAGATGTAAAGGAAAGATTGACATCCGGTCAGGTAGGGTGCAGGTTAGGGCACATAGTCAAATGGTAGGAGATCAAAAAGGCAGATCTAAGAGATGGGTCCTGAGTGTGATGTAAGACATGATTCACGTTAAAATTAATATCATTTATAGAAGAGTCTACTCTGTTTCTCTCTCCACAGATGCTGCCAATACAGCTGTGTTTCTCCTGCAATTTGCTTTTATTTCAGATTTTGGATCTAATGAAGTGAGTGTTATGATCTATGTGCATGAGGTGATAGGATAATGGTATGGTCACTGGACTGTTAATCTAGAGACCCAGGTAATGTTCTGTCTGGGGACCTGGGTTTGAATCTTGCCAGGCAGATGGTGGAATTTGAATTCAATGAAAAAAACCCTGGGAATTAAGAGTCTAATGATGACCATGAATCTATCGCTGAATGTCAAGAAAAACCCATTTGGTTCACTAATGTCCTTTAGGGAAGGAAACTGCCATCCTTACCTGGTCTGACCTACATGTGACTCCAGATCCACAGCAATGTGGTTGGCTCTGGGTAATTAGGAATGGACAATAAATGATGGACTAGACAGTGATGCCCACATCCTGTAAATGAATAAAAAAAGAAGAGGAGTGTTAATAATTAACATGTCAGTCTTTCTGCAGCCAGGGTTTTAAAGCAGAGAGTAGGGGTCCCTGGGCTTCCTAGATTGGCAATGTGAATTATTTTGTATTGTGATAGCTTTACTTTCAGAAAGAGCAAACATTGAGAGGCATTATCTTGCTTGTGGTTTTGAAGAATCAAGAATTGAGTTTTCTGATGGAAAATCCATAGGTTGAAATGCTTTTGGTTCCGTCTGTCAATGTAAGAACAGTTTCTCCTCAGGAAAGGAGTTAGGTCAGAACAGCTGGAAAATAGGATATCTCAGTTTAAGGGTTTTAATTTGAAAATTCCAGACCAGAAGTGTTTGGTTAGAAACACAGTCAGGGTTATTTAAAGTTTAAAAAGTATAAGCTGTTGTCTAAATAATCAAGGAAATTACAATTAAGCTCTCAAGACCTGGAATTGAAAGGAACAATTTAACTCAAACTTATAAATGAAATGAAGAGTGAAGTCTTGCCGGTATTTGAATACTGTAAGGTGATGGAATTTGAATTTGTGTCTCCAGAACATTAGTCTAAACCTCTAGGTTGTTAGTCCATTATTGGTCTAACTCACCAACCACAGCTCAGAACATGAATGTAATTGTTTTACCCAATTCCAGTCATATAACCAGTCGGCTGCTTTCTCTAAATAAAAGGATATCATTGTTACTACAGGATGACTTAAGTATTGTAGCAAGAAATGATCTTGGATCAGAAGTCACAAGGATGGAGGCAAGAAAAACAAGTGGAAGAAGACAATGGTGAGAGTGGTCTATGTGCCCCTAACAGGTAGGACAGAGAATAAACAAGGAGATAATAAGGGCATTTAACAAAGGTATACATTAATCATGGGTGACTTTAATCTTCATTTGGACTGGGATAGTCAGTGTGTCAGAGATAGCCAGAGATAGGACGAATTCATTTTAAAAAACTAAAGAACTACGGATGCTGGAAGGAAGAAACAAAATCAGAAATTGCTGGAAAAACTCAGCAGCTCAGGCAGAATCCTTGGAGAGAAAGCAGAGTTTACATTTAGTTCCAGTGACCCTTCTTCAGAACATGTTGTTGTTGAAGAATTCGTAATGTATTCGGGATAGATTCCTAAAACAATATGTTTTGGATCCAACCAGGAATTAGGCTAATTTGGATCCAGCGATATGTACTGAGGCAGATTTAATAATTTTTTTCAGACAATAAGTAAACAACACAAGTTCCTTAGGGGGTTTGACATGGGGGTGGTGGGGTGGGGGGTGGGGTGTGCGGGGCAGTGGATGTTATAAACGTTGTTTCCCCTTGTGGAAGAGTCTAGAACCAGAGGGTATAATTTCAGAATAAGAGGTCACCCATTTAACACAAAGACGAGGAAGAGTTTCCTCTTAGAGGATTGGGAATCTGTGCAATTCTTTACCTCAGAGGGCTGTTGCGGCTCGATCATCGAGTATATTCAAGGCTGAGATAGAAAGATTTTTAATCAGTAAGGGAATCAGGGGAAAAGGTAAGAAAGTAGAGTTGAGGATTATCAGAACAGCTATGATTTCACTCACTGGTGAAATTCTATGGTCTTATGGTCTTATTCCTTAGGAAACAGTGACCAAAACATGTTGGAATTTAGCATTCAGTTTGTGAGGGAGAAACTTGGGGTCAGAAACAGCTGTGCTCAACTTAAATCACTATAATTACAGAGGAATGAGGTCAGGTCTGACTGGAGTGGACTGGGAAAAGAATTTAGCAGCAAAGACAGTTGAAGAAACTTGGCAGACATTTAAGAAAATAGCTCATGGCTCACAGCAAAGTGAGAAAGAAGAATTCTAGGAAGGGGATGTGCCAACCTTGATTTAATGAGAGATGTTCAGGATAACATCAAATTGAAAGAAAAAAATTCAACGTGGTAAAGATTAGTGGCAAGTGAGAGGATTGGGCATGTTTTAAAAATCAACAAAAGATGATCAAACAAAAAGAGGGAGAAGATAAAACTTTCAGAATAAACTTGTAAGTAATATTGAGATGGATGGCAAGATCTTCTTTAAATTTATAAGAAAAAGAAGAGAGGGCCCAAGTGAATACAATCTCCCTGGAAAAAACAGCTGAGGAAATAATAATGGGAACCAAGACATAGCAGAGGAGTTAAATTAATACTTTGCATCAGTCCTCACAGTGAAATACTATAATAACATCTCCAAAATTGCCAAATAATCAAGGGACAAAAGGAGGAGAGGAACTAAATACAATCACCATCACTGGAGAAAATGTACGAGAGGCAATAGATCAACAAGTCCCCTGAACCTGATAAGATAAATCCTAAGATTTTAAAAGAAGTAGCAACAGAGGTAGTAGATGCCTTAGATTCTAGAAAAGTCCCAAAGAACTGGAAAACTCGGATGACGGATGTAAATGTACTATAGCCAAGTCTGAAGATGTCACAAATGTAGGAAGGCACATGGTAAAGATAACACAAAGTCTGCAGAGGGATGTAGACAAGGTCAAGCAAGTGAATAAAAATTAACAGCTAGAATTTGGGATATGGGAAACAATATGGGAAAATGGGAAAATATACACTTTGGCAGGAAGAGTAAAGGAGCTGAATATTATTTAAATGGAGAAAGACTGCAGAAAGCTACCGCACAGAAAGATTTACAAGTCCTTGTGCATTTATCATAAAAACCTAGCATCCAATTTCAATGGATAATAAGGAAGGCAAATGGAATATTGGCCTTTATTTCAAAAGGAATATTAATTTCTCCAAATAGGAACATAGGAGTAGGGCAATTAACTTCTCAAGTCTCTTCTGTCATTCAATAGGATGATGACTGATCAGCAACCTGGTTCTATAGACCCCACATTGTCCCATATCCCTCAATAACAAAAAAAATTACCAAGCACAGATTTTAAATTAACTATTTAAATAACACTGATTGCTTTTCTTTACCACCCTTTACGTGAACAATTGTTTCCTAATCTCATTCATGAAAGATCTGGTGCAAATATTTTGACCATATTTTGGGCCAGCTTACCAAGTTTGCAGAAATACTTTCTCCCAATGCAATCTACCCGTTCACCGTCATAATTTAAATCACATCATCCCTTAAATTAATCTATTAAATTCTAAGGATATGATCTTGGTTTGTGTAGCCGCTCCTTATAAATTAATCCTTGGAATCCAGTTATTGTTCTGGTAACTGTATTGTGCGCATCCTCTTAAGCCTAAGATGTGAACAAAACTACTCGCAATACTCCAGATGCAATCTAATGAAAACGTTGTTTATTTGAGGTGTCCCTTCTTCTCTCTTAACTATATCCTTCTGGATAAAAAGGCAAGTATTCCATTAGCCTTTTAAATTATTTTTTCTACCTGTTCAGGATACTTTAATCTCTGCTGTACATGAACACCCTTCCTAATCAGGTTGGACTGCCATGATTCCTACTTTTTCACCATTTAGAAAGTACTTTGTTTTATCATTTCATTGATGGCCTCAGATTTGCCTCCATTCACATAATCAACCAACATGGACGGCATTTTATGTCAAGGGTGGAAACCCCACCATCCAGGATAAAAATTCCAGGTGAACCCATTTGTTTCTGGCCGACTCACCTCACAATTAAATAGCTGGCAGCCCTCTAACCCAAAGGGAGCAAAGCCACTGCTTGTTGTCAGTCGGTACCATATGATTCTCATATCCCAGAGTCAATCCTATGCAGTATCATCTGGCTGGCTTTTGTGGGCAGCATTTACAGGGACAGGAACCTACCCAACTTGTGACAATCACACACAAGTTCAGTATCTTTGACGATCAATGAAAAGGGAGACGTGCTCCCGAAGCTTTTCATCACTTCAGAAAGACATCCTATCTACTAAACACTAGAGGAATATCATATATGAATTTCAATGCCAGTGCAATGTCAGGTACATGGGAATTCATCCCAAAACGATTAGTAAACATCTACCTCCACTTGTTCAAAATCAGCAGATTCCAGACAATGCTCAACCAGCTCCTGCTTGCAAAACCCAAAGCAAAATGTTGAAAACAAAAAATGCTGGATATCACAGCGGTTTAGGGCGAGGGCTATGTTTTCGGTACAGATTCTAGCATCTGCGGTAATTTGCTCTTACATC